CCTGCTGAAAGTTAGAGCATGTGTTACCAGCCTACTTTTTCTAAGCCAAATGGTACAAAATATGTTTTATTAACAAATATATTCCAAATATTTGCTTTTTTTGTATTCTTTGAGAAAGTGATGACTTAATGGTTGATTTACTATGAGTGGTATAGGAAAAATGTTTTCTTACTAAAACCACATGTTCTTACATTGGACTTTTTTTTTCCTCCAGGAAATGCTTTGGTTTTTAAAAAATTAGAAAGAAAAGGAAAAATGAAGGCCAGTGCCTTGAAATGTTCCTTAAGTTTTAACTAATTTGCCATCTAATATTAAGAAAGTTTGATAAAATATTTTGTCTTAGCCATACCGATGATTGTTGTGCAGCTATAAAATAGGTAAAATTATTAGAAAGCAACAACCTTCCACTCCAACACCCAGCCCAAAACCCTCACCAAACTTAATGTTCCATAGGTGAGAGAAAAAGTTGTGTTTTACCACTTTTTTATGTTTTCATATTTTCATTTCCCCAGCACTAGAAAGTTTAGGCTTTGGCTCTTATATCAGTGAAGTAAAAGAAGTCTTACAAGAATGCAAGACAGTAGCATTAAAAAGAAGAAAGGCCAGTTCTCGTTTGGAAAACCTTGGCATTCCTGAAGAAGAATTATTGAGACAGCAACAGGAATTATTTGCAAAAGTAAGTAACACGTTTTAAATTATTTTCATCTGAATCTGACCCTTTTTGCTAACCAAAATCATACTGGTTTCTAAAATCATTTCCTTAGTCAACATACGTACCCCCAAAATTTTCTTTCTGTGGCTGATTGATTGATTATAGAGCCTGATGTTAGGTCTGGCTAGTTTTTTACTTTATGTAAAAGCAAATTTTTGCAGCAGCCTGTTTTCTGAGGAGAACAACTCCAAATAACTACTGAGATTTTATTTTGATGTTTTTTCAGGCAGAATGGCCATTTAAAAGCATGAAACGTATACCTAAACATTCTTAAGATTTAAAATGATAGACTGGTGAGAAAATATTGTATCAAATTTTTAGACGAATGGCATATAAGAAAAATCTGATTAACATCTACTTTGTAGTTAAATTAGATCTTTAATACACCTTTAAAACATTCTAATCTTAAAAACTTTGAAGGGCCAGTGGAGCAGAGAGAGGGAGAAAACTTTTCTCCTTTCTTGCTTGTCACAGTTCTAATGTCCAGTGTGTGAAGGATTAACAACAAGTACTAATATCCCTTTATTTTTTAAGAAAGGAGGGGGGCTTCCCTACTGGCGCAGTGGTTGAGAGTCCGCCTGCCGATGCAGGGGACACGGGTTCGTGCCCCGGTCTGGGAAGATCCCAATGCCGCGGAGCGGCTGGGCCCATGAGCCACAGCCTCTGAGCCTGCGCGTCCGGAGCCTGTGCTCCGCAACGGGAGAGGCCACAACAGTGAGAGCCCACGTACCGCAAAAAAAAAAAAAAAAAGAAAGAAAGGAGGGGACCACAGGGAGCTGGGACTGAATGGAATTTGTGGCTAGCCTCTTAGAATTTCACCAATGTTATCTCTGTACCATCTTCTGGGCCTGCCTTGGCCCATCCTTAGAATCCTGGGTACCTTATTCATTCCCTTCCAGGTCCCCTTGGTGGCAAAATAGAAGCAAGCTCTGTAACACATTTCGGAGCTATCCTCTGTGGAAGATCATATTTTCCAAAGATGACTGCTATAGTATATCTCACCCCTCGTGTTCTCCCCATGGTTCACTGTTCCTTGGTGTTATAGTAGAGGCAGCAAAGGCTGGCAGCATTTATTACCTAATAAAAATAGCTAGGGATGAAGATAAGGGGATGCACAAGCCCACACTGCACAGCTTCCACGTGAAGTGAATAGGCACTACAACCAGTATGCACACATACCCCATGCTGATGGCAAAGACCAACACAAAAAAGCTTTTCATCAGTGCTTTCCACTCAGGCATGGGATGCAACACCTAGAATACCTACAGGTATGTAGGGCAAGAGCAAGAGGAAGAAACTGAGAGAGAAAAATTGGCGTTTCCTTCTTCTCTACCAGGTTCCTTGAAGCTGGGGAGAAGACAGTTACAGAGTACAGTGATTCTTGAATGTGACTGAATATTTACTCCACATAAGACTGAGAGCTTAATAATCTGATTATTAAGAATGCAAATCACTGTTCAAGGCAAAATTTATCAGCTGGGGCTGAGGTACCTTAACGGTATTTTTACTTTCTCTTCTCTGTACCTCCTCCCCACCTACCCTGCAAAGGCAGGGGCAAGGAATTATGAACTTGAAAATTTATGATAACAGCTTAAAAAATAATCCATTCCATTTTTGGGTACTACTAAAGTGCTCAGATTGCTCAAGCAAACTGTCTATATGTAAATACTTTTTTGAAATAAAGCATTTGACTGACTTTCCAGTGGGAAGATCTTGAAAGTTAGACCTAAATCGTTGGGCCAGAGGTTGTTCTATGGCAAACAGGATGTAAAATATGGAGTGTTTTAGTTCCATAGATATACTTATTTCATCATGGGAATAGAGCTGTATGTCTGTCCCTACCATTAGTCTGTAAGTTCCCTGAGGGCAGGACCCATTATTAGTTGTATCTCTAGCACCCACCTAACATGGTAACTAGCACAGGGGGAGTATTCAATAACTATTTGTTGAATGGATGACTGAGTTGGGTTGGTAAGTCAAGGAAGCACAGAACTCTAGGGGTGGAAGAGACTTTTGAAAATCATTTACTTCAACCTTGATCTTCCAGACTACAATTCTGAGGTTCAAGGAGGTTAAAGAACCTATTCACCATTATTTTAAAAAAAAGAGGGGAGAAGGTGATGTTGTTTTCCCCTACAAAGTTCTGGCTTCTCATTTGAAATTGAAAGACAGGTTTGGTTTGAATAGAATAAGAATTGCTACCGGTTACTGTAATTACTATTAGAACTGGGAAATACCATTTTAGGTCATCTCTTCCAGATTAGTACCATAACTGATCTCTTTGCAGTCATAACAACCAGTTTGGTTTATATTTAAAAGCATTTGAATTTTAAGTGTTATCAAGCGCTAGACAGCAGATACCACTTAAACTAATAAGGAAGATAAAAGCTTACCAACATTTGAGTTCTAAACATGTGTTAATCATGTTGCCAAGTAATTTACCAGTATTATTTCATTTAATCCTCACAACAACCTATGAAATAGGTGCTAAAGTGGAAAAAGCCTTTGAGGCAGGCATGAGCACCTGCAAACAGTGTTATAATCCATATGAATATGAGGTACCAAATGAGGAGTGATAATTTTTTTTAAAAGCTAATGGCAGACTTCCCTGGTTGTTCAGTAGTTAAGAATCTGCCTGCCAAAGCAGGGAACATGGGTTCGAGCCCTGGTCCAGGAGGATCCCACATGCTGCGGAGCAACTAAGCCCATGCACCACAACTGCTGAGCCTGCGCTCTAGAGTCTGCGAGCCACAACTACTGAGCCCATGTGCCACAGCTACTGAAGCCCGTGCGCATAGAGCCTGTGCCCTGCAACAAGAGAAGCCACCGCAGTGAAAAGCCCACGCCCTGCAATGAAGAGTAGCACCCACTCTGCAACTAGAGAAAGCCCGCGCACAGCTAGACTAGAGAAGTCCTGCATACAGCAACAAAGACCCAACACAGCCATAAATAAATAAATTTATTTATTAAAAAAAAAAAGAGGCATGAAATAGCAAGGTGTCTTTAAAAAAAAAGCTAATGACTATTATTTATTGAGTCTCTACTATTGCAAATCACCTACAGGGTGCCAAAGGAAATATTTGATAAAAGGAAAATGATGCTCTGCTAAATACTTTATATACTTTGCAGAGTTCTTAATGAGTAATACAAATTTTACTATACACATTTATTCCTTAAGAAACAGACTCAGAGATAGAGAAGCTTGCATGAGATCAGATCATTTGTTCTACAGATATTTATTAAAGTCTTCACTATTTACCAGATAATAGTGCTAGGTGCTAGGCTTCTAACAGTATAAAAAAGAGACATGGTTCCTATCATTATGAAGCTTAGTACTGGGAAGGATTGACTTAAGCAAATGAAAGGGTAAATACCTTTTGACTCCAAAACCTGTTCTCTTTCTACTATACTGTGCTAATGCTCTAGCCACCATTTTGTTTGCTTAAATTTATTTTGGAACTTTTAAGTGAAATGAACATGCTTTATCATTTCTAGGGCAAAAAGATGAATGAAAAATAACTGACTGACTGCCATATCTGTCTTCAGCTCTCTACCCTTGTCATCTATTTTGTTTTGTTTTGTTTTTTTCCCCTTATCTCCCTTCTTTCTTGCCCTGACCTATGGGTGAAAATACCCTAGTATTTCTTTGCTATTGTGAGAAAAATCAGAAGAGAAGTAAAATTATAGCAGCCACTTAGTACTTTTTTCCCTAGAGCATAAAGTACTTTAGTCTTAAATATAAAAGGAACTGATAAATTATTGTAACATCTTTTTCATAACTTTCATTTCACTTAATCATTTAGACTTTATTTTATATGCCAAAATAGCCTCATTTGAAGCTATCTTTCACTGTTAGCAGAAAATATTTGAAAAGGAGGTAATCTCTAATATGTTGAGATTAAAGTTAGCTGTAAATTATAAATCAGTTATTTTAGTGTGTGGAAGTGGGAAACTTAAAACACAATGATAATCTCCAGAAGAAGTGAATTAGGAAGTATATGCCTACTTACTTCTCTTTCACTCTTCCATTTCAGAAGGAAAATACTTGGGATGGATTGGGTGAGAAGCAAAAGGGAAAAAAAGAAAGCAGAATAAATATACTGAAATTTTTAATTTGTGGAAATGAATACAAATAATATTTACCAATCAACATTGATTTTAAAGACACTGGAATGCTTTTATGTTCAGAGAGAAAAGTATGGGTGCTGATATGGGGTGATGATACCTAAAAGTCAGTTAAATTTTTAGTGTAACCAGTACATGTCTTTGTAGATCATTGAGCAAACTACAAGATAAAGCAACTTTGCAATAAGACCTGTGTAGAGACTTGAAATTATTTGAATTATCTTTTCTGTGCCACAAAATTGTATCAATTTATAGTTGATTAGGCCACAAAGTAGGTATTAAGTTGATTAAATCAATGTATTTGGTTTGCCCTACCATTTTCAAGTATTCTCTGTGAAGCGTTCTTAGTCTATTTTGAACTCTGGGTATTCCTGTGATAAAAGTAAACATGTCTGTGTGTTATGGAAATATTTTCTATATTTCTTTATAAAAATGGGTAGAAGTAGTTACTAGAATACCTGGTCTTTAATTTCCTAAACAAACACAAAAAACGTTTTTGTCTTGTAGGGAAGGTATAATATAGGTATATTAACAGCTGTATTATGAGGTTGACTAGTCTCATGAGGAAGATGTAAAGAGATCCCCAAGTACAGAGATATCACATTAGATTTTAATGATATAGGAGTGTGCCAGTTACTAAGCAATCATCTCAGCATGAAACCCTCCTTTCTATGTTCTGCTTTGAGACTGGGCCCAGTACTCTGCAAACCACGTTTCTGTTTTCTAGCTGACTTCCTTTAGACTGTGCTGCCAGTAGGGGGCTCGAGAGGGAGATTACAGGGCTGGGTGGAAGAAGGCACATGTTCCTTTCTTTTACTTTCAGTTGGCTTCAGGTTCCTTTGAGCAACCCAGCAATGCATCACCCTGGCTGCATCATTTTTTTCCTGTAGTGGGAACTGAATCTGGTTTGCAGTTTCTCTAATACAGAAGCAGCCTGAACATGCATCCCCTTCCTCAAGGATTTGGGTCTCAAACCTTGAGGCCCTCCTCTAAGCTCAGAGATGGTAGTAGTACCAGCTGATTTATGCCCTTTCTTCAGAAGTCTTGAGTTTCATTTCCATGGGTTGCTCCTCTAAGCTTCCAAGTTTTAAGAATCCCAGCCTGTTCCCTTGTTTCCCCCAGTTTTAGGGTTGGTGGCTGCTTCCTGTAGTTGCCACCCACATATCTTAGTGTTCATTTCTTGCCTTTTCAGTTACCTAGTTACCACCTTTATACTTGGTTAATAATCTTTTATATGACATTCTTTCTATTTCCCTGACTAGTGTAACTTCTATCTCCTGATTAGACCCTGAACGATACTGGAAGGAATCAGGAACAAACTTAATGGAGAAACTAGTATTTCAGTTTGACTTGAAGGAAGAGTGGAATTTCAGTAGGTGAAAATCAGATTTCAAATAGAATGACTATCAGCATGAGTAAAGGTAGAAAAAGTGGGAGGGTATGATGTATATTTAGGAAACACTTTATGTTTATCTAGGGGTTTTTTTGTTTTTTTCTTTTTGGAGCACAAGACAAATGTTTTGAAGGAATATTAGAGAAATACATTGGGGCAGACAGTAATTTGGAGGGTCTTGAACTCTAGGCTGAGAAATTTGGACTTAATTGGCAACAAATGATTTTTTTTTAATTACAGTTTAAACAAATTTATTTATTTATTTTTATTTATTTATTTTTGGCTGCATTGGGTCTTCATTGCTGAGCGCAGCTTTCTCTAGTTGCGACGAGCGGGGGTTTCTTCATTGCAGTACACAGGCTTCTTATTGTGGTGGCTTCTCGTTGCAGAGCATGGGCTCTAGGTGCCCAGGCTTCAGTAGTTGTGGCACGCGGGCTCAGTAGTTGTGGCTCGCAGGCTCTAGAGCGCAGGCTCAGTAGTTGTGGCACACAGGCTTAGTTGCTCCGAGGCATGTGGGATCTTCCAGGACCAGGGCTCGAACCCATGTCCCCTGCATTGGCAGGTGGATTCTTAACCACTGCACCACCAGGGAAGTCCCTAAATGATTTTTTTTTTAAGTGTAGTAATTTTCCCCTAGGAATGTTTGGGTAATACATTCATGACAGATTATTAAGAAAAGTTAGGAATTTACATGGTAAAATCTTAAGGTTGTGCTGAGCCTCATTGTTTTCCCACAAAACATTCATCCAGTCAGAAACTACTGGGGGCCTGTATGTTGGGAATGCAACAATGAATATGGAAACATTTTCTATTCTCCACTCTAGTGGAGAAAAAAGATGTATACTTACGTAATTAGAGAACAAAATGGATAGGTATGGGAATGCATAGAGAATTACAGAATATGAAATAGAGCAGAAAATGTGACCTAGAAGGACCAAGAAAAACTGAAAACTGATGTGTGTTATAAATGATGACTAGCAATTGGCCATTCATAAAGGAGGGTATGAGCCAGGCTTAAAGAATAACTCTGAGAAAAGACCAATGGAGAAACAACACTGTTTTGGTAAACTTTAATGGGAAATGATATGATCTTTTCAAAAACAGATTCATTTTTTCCTTCTTGGTGTGGTTTTTCTGCTAATGGAAGGCATGTAATGCATATGTATGCATCTTGGTTTCTTAAATCCTGTGGTGGTTTTTATAGAGGATATTTCAAATGAATGGATTTTAATTATCCCACTTAAATTCAGTACTGGATAAATAATTTTCACTAGTGTGTATGTGGGAAGAGTATGTTCTTTGTGTGTACATACGTGCGTATTTACAGAGAGAGGGGAGAGGGACAGAGGAAGAAAGAGATGTATCTATAGAGTAGGGAACTGTGATAGAAACTTAAAAGAAATATCAAGGTAGCTGGTGCATTCACGTACAGTACTTTTCCCTAACAGAGGTATTGTACTAGTGAACTTTTAAGCCACAGAAATAATTTTTAGATTGCAAACGTTTACGTCAAAATTATGAGTTGAGAGGACAGAAGAATCAAGTGAAACAAAAGAGAGAGAAACAGGGAAAAGGAACCAAAGAGTGAATGTTGTGATTTTTCTTTAAATTTTTTTAGGTTCTTCAGTTGAACCATTATGTAGCATAAAAGGAAACTTTTATCGAAAATTTTTATGGAAAGTTTTGGAAACTCTACTTAAGAAAATTGAAAAGAAGCAATCTCTAATTATATTTTCTTATAGAGTTCATATTGTCCTCATGTACAACAACTATATCGTGGTTGGAAAATATCCAAATTTGATAATGACTGAGTTTATGAAAGTGTGCATATTGTACGTTTTTTTAAAAATTACTATTTTTTTTAATGTTTTTTGTGTTTAGGCTAGACAGCAACAAGCAGAATTAGCCCAACAGGAATGGCTTCAAATGCAGCAAGCTGCCCAACAAGCACAGCTTGCTGCTGCTTCAGCAAGTGCATCCAACCAGGCAGGATCTTCTCAGGATGAAGAAGATGATGATGATATCTGAAATTCACCAGCTGAGTTTTTATTTCCTCTATAAATGTTTTTCCCTGCACAAGAAAACAGTGAAAGAAATGCTTATCTGTAATTTTGTATGCATCTTGGTGGACTTGCCATTGGTATTCTAGGGATGTCTGCCGTTAAGTTTCATCTATTGTGTGCTATTCATGTAAAAACTGTCTCTTCTAACTATTGAAAATTTAAGGCTCAGTATAATATCAATTTTGAATTTTTAATGGTGTTTATGAAATTTTAGATAGCAGTGAGTCCTTTATTTCATCAGTAAACAGTGTTACAGAAAACTTCAAGTTTATAAAAATACAGTGAAATTTATACAGAAGCTCTAAATCTTCATTTGCATTTCCTCTGCCCTTTTAACTAAACTAAAAATTGGGAATTTTAAATTATTGGGGGGGAGGTGCTATGTGATGCAGTAGATATTAGATCAGGCTGGTGAAAAAACAAAGAGTTCAGTTCTGTAGTATTTGGATTTTTTGTCTTTTAAAATGAGTATATATACAGGCACTAAATATATATGCTCAGATGAATATACTTGTTTTAAAAAATCTCAAACAAGACATTCAAAAACTAGGGTGAGTATGTTCAGTAGTAGTTGTAAAATTTGGTAGGTTATGTTTTGATTTTGTTTTTGTTTTATGTAGAGGTAAAAACTAAAGTTTTATTATAGCATAATTCATCTTGAGCTACACTATTACATTTCAAAGACTGCCCCGTTTTGAGGACTGTCATGATTCTTAGTATTTCACTCCAATGATTGTTAATAATATTACTTGCTTAGTCCATCCATGTTTATTGGAACTTGTGAAACAATTGCTTAGGTTCCATTGGTTTAACTAAGGTTCATGAAATTCAAACCTTTGCTGGGGGAAAGAAATGAAAGTTAATGAGCATGCTTGCTATAAGACGGATTTTTTTGTAATTTAACTTGTAGTCATAGTTTACTTATTGTTTGTTTTTAGCATTACTTTTACAATTTCTTGACTAGATGGCCTAGAGTGTCCAATGCTTCCTTTTGAAATGGCATCATTGTCTCCATCATAATTGAGCTTTAAAAAATGATTGTTTTATTTTGTTTAAGAAAGTGTATTAATTGATAGCCCTATATGAAACATCGTTTCAACCTGCTCATTACAAGGGAAAAGCTTTAATTTGGTTCCAGTAAATAAACTGTGGTAGTGATTTTTATAGGAATCCAGTGTGTTGAAGAACTGGCCTATTGTTTGTATGTTGAAAACAGAATGGAAAGCCACTTAAGATAGTATGAAGTAATCTAAATTCCTATGTCAGTTGCCAAATCATTTAAATTTGTATATTCACCAGGTCTAAAGACAGATGGCGGATGCCAGGATTCCAATTTTAATTGAAGAGCTAAATAAGTAAAGTTTACAAGTATTAGATTTCTTAATGATCATATTTTGCAGTTTTAGAAAAGGTGAAATATTGTCATACATTTATTAAATACACTTCTTCCATGCCACAACTAAGTGAATCTTGCTTAGTGTTTTGAGTTGAAGTTGGTATTGAATCCATGAAGTGCATTTGGACAAAATAGAAGGGATTGTTTTTTTAAAAGTTTAAGTACCAAAGGTAGTCTAGTCTAAGAAATAATAAGTTAATAAGTGTTGGCTTTTCTAACTTGTACTGTAACATCCTTATACTTTCTATTTTAAGTATATCTGTTTCTTATGTAAACAACTTAGATATTTTTCCATACTTTTTTTTTTGATGCAGAGTTCAGGTTAATTAATATTTTACTGCATCTGATAATGTATTATATGTTTGAATCCTAGTGACTTTTCATTTTGACATTCTTGTAATTTTCATATGCTATATTCTTCAAGCAATAAAATCTGATGTGTTTTATAAATTGTTTTTATATTTAATAATCTATATAGATTAATGGCATGAGATTTCTATTATTACCATTTTTACTAGTTTCAAGAATCCTAGGCCCAAAAGACATTTTGATCATTTGGTATATAGTACTTGACTTTCTCCTCTGTTTGCTGTTATTTCAGAAAATGTGGTTTTACTTGTATTTTTGTAATTTACAGTCCTAGGGTGCAGGCACAACAGAGCTAATTAAGCAGTATTTTACTCTTAGCTTATTTTTTAGCAGTTAACTATTACATTCTGTCTGTTGAGATTTTTTAAATCCTTTGGAGAGAGAAAGAAAATCTTTACAGTTGTTGAGAAATAAAGTTATTGTTTAGTAAGTATTTTCCCCACCTCCTTGAATATATGTCTTTTTCAGCAGATTATCAGGTAAGTGTTGAAAAGGCATCAATTTTTAAACTTACATATACCATACATATAAGTACATAAATAAGGGTTTTCACAAATTAAACATACTCATTTTGCCAGCCCTCAGATCAAGAAACAGAGTGTTATGAACATCCCAGAATCCCTCCTTTTGCCCCTGTCTCAGCACTATCTTCTTCCTCCCCAGAAGTAACTGCTATTCTGACTTCTAAAATCAGTTTTGCCTGTCTTTTATTTTATGTAAATGCATACATAATACACTCTTTTTTTGCTCATCATTATATTTGTGAGTGATTGGTTTCCTGATGCCACTGTAACAAAATATCACAAACTTAGTGATTTAAAACAACACAAACGTATTCTCTTGCAGTCCTGAAGATCAGAAGTCCAAAATCAGTTTCATTAGGCCAAAGCTGAGGTTGGTTCCTGAATCTGGAAATTAATTGTGAGTGGAAAATCTGTTTCCTTCTCTTTTTTTCAGTTTCCAGTGTCTGCCTAGAATCCTTGGCTTGTGGGCTCTTCCTCCATGTTCAAAGCTTCTGCTTTTATCATCACATCATCTTCTCATGTTTATAGTCAAATATTCCTCTACATCTACATTTAGGGCCCACCTGGATAATCCAGGATAATCCCTCATCTCAAGATCCTTAATTTAATCATATCCACAAGGTCTCTTTTGTCATATACGGTAACATTTACATGTTCCAGGGCTTCAATCCTGTATATCTTAGGAGGCTGTTACTCAACCTACTAGAGTGAGATTCATTCATATTGTTGCATGTATTTGTACTTCATTCATTCTCATTGCTGAATAGTATTTCATTATCTAGTTGTATTATATACAAAATTTATCCATTCTGCCATTGATGGGCATTTGAGTGGTTTCTGGTTCTGGGCTATTAGGAATAATGCTGTGGAGAACATTCTTATACATGTCTTTCGGTGAGTGTATATATGCATTTCTGTTGAATATATACTTGGGAGTGGAGTGGTTGGGTCATGGGGTGTGCATGTATTGGTGTTGAGTATGTACTGTCAGTTTTCCAAAGTGTTTGTAAGAAGACACCATTTTAATGTGTACTATAATAATGAATTACTATAATGGTCTAGTGGCCTGAGAATGTTAATGAATTTCTTGAAATTCTTAAATTATACCAAATGAGTTATACTTGCTACAGCAGGTCTGTTATTTAGTATGAAAGCAAGAGGAAAATAAAGCAAAAGTATTTGTTCTTGTTATTATTTTTATTTTTACATCTTCATTGGAGTATAATTGCTTTACAATGGTGTGTTAGTTTCTGCCTTATAACAAAGTGAATCAGTTATACATATACATATGTTCCCATATCTCTTCCCTCTTGCGTCTCCCTCCCACCCTCCCTATCCCACCCCTACAGTCGGTCACAAAGCACCGAGCTGATCTCCCTGTGCTATGCGGCTGTTTCCCATAGCTATCTACCTTACGTTTGGTAGTCTATATATGTCCATGCCTCTCTCTCACTTTGTCACAGTTTACCCTTCCCCCTCCTCATATCCTCAATTCCATTCTTTACTAGGTCTGTGTCTTTATTCCTGTCTTAGCCCTAAGTTCTTCATGACATTTTTTTTCTTAAATTCCATATATATGTGTTAGCATACGGTATTTGTCTTTCTCTTTCTGACTTACTTCACTCGTATGACAGACTCTAGGTCTATCCACCTCATTACAAATAGCTCAATTTCGTTTCTTTTTATGGCTGAGTAATATTCCATTGTATATATGTGCCACATCTTTATCCATTCATCCAGTGATGGACACTTAAGTTGTTTCCATCTCCGGGCTATTGTATATAGAGCTGCAATGAACACTTTGGTACATGACTCTTTTTGAATTATGGTTTTCTCAGGGTATATGCCCAGTAGTGGGATTGCTGGGTCATATGGTAGTTCTATTTGTAGTTTTTTAAGGAACCTCCATACTGTTCTCCATAGTGGCTGTATCAATTCACATTCCCACCAACAGTGCAAGAGGGTTCCCTTTTCTCCACACCCTCTCCAGCATTTATTGTTTCTAGATTTTTTGATGATGGCCATTCTGACTGGTGTGAGATGATATCTCATTGTAGTTTTGATTTGCATTTCTCTAATGATTAATGATGTTGAGCATTCTTTCATGTGTTTGTTGGCAGTCTGTATATCTTCTTTGGAGAAATGTCTATTTAGGTCTTCTGCCCATTTTTGGATTGGGTTGTTTATTTTTTTGTTATTGAGCTGCATGAGCTGCCTGTAAATTTTAGAGATTAATCCTTTGTCAGTTGATTCATTTGCAAATATTTTCTCCCATTCTGAGGGCTGTCTTTTGGTCTTGTTTATGGTTTCCTTTGCTGTGCAAAAGCTTTGAAGTTTCATTAGGTCCCATTTGTTTATTTTTGTTTTTATCTCCATTACTCTAGGAGATGGGTCAAGAAGGATCTTGCTGTGATTTATGTCATAGAGTGTTCTGCCTATGTTTTCCTCTAAGAGTTTGATAGTTTCTGGCCTTACATTTAGGTCTTTAATCCATTTTGAGCTTATTTTTGTGTATGGTGTTAGGGAGTGATCTAATCTCATACTTTTACATGTACCTGTCCAGTTTTCCCAGCACCACTTATTGAAGAGGCTGTCCTTTCTCCACTGTACATTCCTGCCTCCTTTATCAAAGATAAGGTGACCATATGTGCTTGGGTTTATCTCTGGGCTTTCTATCCTGTTCTGTTGACCTATCTGTTTTTGTGCCAGTACCATACTGTCTTCATTACCATAGCTTTGTAGTATAGTCTGAAGTCAGGGAGCCTAATTCCTCCAGCTTCGTTTTTCATTCTCAAGATTGCTTTGGCTATTCAGGGTCTTTTATGTTTCCATACAAATTGTGAAATTTTTTGTTCTAGTTCTTTGAAAAATGCCAGTGGTAGTTTGATAGGGATTGCAATGAATCTGTAGATTGCTTTCTTTGGGAAGTAGAGTCATTTTCACAATGTTGATTCTTCCAATCCAAGAACATGGTATATCTCTCCATCTGTTTGTATCATCTTTAATTTCTTTCATCAGTGTCTTATAATTTTCTGCATACAGGTCTTTTGTCTCCTTAGGTAGGTTTATTCCTAGATATTTTATTCTTTTTGTTGCAATGGTAAATGGGAGTGTTTTCTTGATTTCACTTTCAGATTTTTCATCATTAGTATATAGGAATGCCAGAGATTTCTGTGCATTAATTTTGTATCCTGCTACTTTACCAAATTCATTG